TCCCCTCGTGGCCGTTCGGTCAAAACTTTATTCGACAATAACTTTCGTTCCACTGTACCGATCTGAGTGCTTTTTGGATATGATTTGCACTCAGATCGGGGCTATTCAGGAATATGATTTTTGTGTGGTTCCTGTAATCCCTTCATGTATTTTTGGGGTACGTTAAAATTGTATGTAAGTTTCTGTATTTGCGAGACTATTGAGTTATCTTAAATTGATCTTAATTATCTCTCAAACATAAAGGTTCTTGGGAGAGAAACTTGTATTCTTGATCTGGAAACCCCATGCTAGGGGCAATGCATAAAAGCCGTGTGTGGCAGAATAAAGACATTTGTACTCCAAGAACTGTGTGTCGTCCAGTTACTGGGGAAGAGGTGTGCTATTTACTTGGTGATATCTTGTTCCTGATTCTACTCTTGGTGATCCAGCAGGGAAAAGTCCCTACCTGGACTAGGGCTCCGCTACACCCACTTCCTCTCCTCTAGCACTCTTTACCTCATTCTTGGGAACTTTGATATCCCAATCAACAACCCCAACTGCCCTGATGCCTCTTGTCTGCTCTCTGTAACCTCCTCCGTTGGACTCACACAGTGGTATAATTCAGAAACTCATACAGCAAGAAACACTCTTGACCTTGTCTTTACCAATCTCTGTACCACCTCTAATCTCTCCAATGTTCCATTTCCTCTATCTGACCACCACCTGCTGACCTTTGATATCGGCATACCCCGTACCCAAATTACACCACCCTCACCACATCAGTCTTGTAGAAACTGTCTTGACCTACAGAAATTCTCCACCAACCTCCAAAGTCTCCTTTCACCCATCTTAAACCTCACCTGCCCTAACACTGCAACCTCCCTCTATAACTCCACACTCTCCTCTCAACTAGACATCATGGCACCTCCCACACTTAAACACAGCAAGCGCCCCCAATTACAACCCTGGCACACCAAGCCGACCCGATACCTCCAAAAATGGTTTTAGAACTAGTGAATGCTGCTGAAGAAAGTCTCACTTCTCGTCTGACTTCCTCCACTGTAAATTTATGCTGCGCTCCCACAGTCTGGCTCTTTCCTCTTCAAAAGAAAACTACTTCAATACACTCATAACCACACTTGTGATCCTAAACCATGCCCTACCAATTCTTCCACCAACCACACTTCCTCAACTGTCCTATGCTCATTTGCACCTGCTACAGCAGAAGAGGTTTCTGCTCTGCTCCGATCCTCCTGCCCCACCACCTGTTCCCTTGATCCTATTCCCTCGTATCTCATCTGCACTTTGTCTCCTTCTCTTGTTCTGCTTCTCACAAAAATTTCAATATCAACCTCTCCTTTGGCATATTACCTCTACCCTTCAAACATGCACTTGTAACCCCGATTTTGGAAAAGTCTAACCTTGACCCTAATTCCCCGTCCAACCACAGCCCTATCTCACTACTGCCGTTTGCCTCCAAGATGTTTGAGAGAGTTGTGTATGTGAGATTGACAGACTTCCTCGAATCCAACTCTCTGCTTGACCCGCTTCAATCTGGACTCCGCTCTCGTCACTCTGATGAAAAAGCTGTGACCAAAGTATCCAATCATCTTATCATTTCAAACTCCCATGGCTGCCACTACTCTATCCTAATTCTCCTTGACATTTCTGCTGCTTCATCAGCTTCTTCTTCTCATGCTATGTAATCTCGGTCTACGAGATACCGCTCTCTCCTGGTGCTCTTCCTACCTCGCCCAGCGCTCTTTCAGTGTTTCTTTCTCTGGCTCTGTCTCTTCCAAATCCCTCTTTGTTGGTGTTCTTCAAGGGTCTGTCCTTAGTCCCCTATTGTTCTCAATCTATACTGACTCCCTTGGTAAACTCATCAACTTCCTGTATCATTTCTATGTGGATGAGATGCAAATTTATCTGTCCTCCCCTGATTTCTCACCACCCCTCTTGACTCGTGTCTCTGACTGTCTCTCTGCTATTCCAACTAGATGGCTGCTCATTTTCTTAAACTTAACCTGTCCAAAACAGAACTTATGGTCTTACCTCCCTCAGTTGTTGCTATTCCCTTGTCTGTATCCCTCCAATTCAATGGCGCTACCATCAGCTCTACCTTGCAGGCTCGCTGCCTAGGTGTTCTCTTTGACTCCGACCTCTCCTTCACCCCTTATGTCCAATCAATCACCAAATCCTGATGCTTCCATCTCAAAAACATAGCGTGCATATTTAACGCCTGAGACTGCTAAGGTGCTGGTCCATGCCACTGTCCTCTCTTGCCTTGACTACTGTAATGCGCTTCTCAGTGGTCTTATGTGTTCCCAACTTGCCCCATTACAGTCTATAATGAGTGCGGCGGCGAGATTCATCTTCTTGTCTGCCTGCACCTCCCATGCCTCCCCCTCTATTAGTCCCTACACTGGCTTCCCGTAAGATATAGGGCACACTTTAAAATCCTGGTACCTGCTTACAAATCTCTACACAATGCTTCTTGTCCTCACTAATGCACAAATATGTCCCGTCTAGGCCCCTACGCTCTGCCCGAAGACCTACGTCTAACCTCTATTCGTACTACTACCTCTAATGCTCTCCTTAAAGACTTCTCTAGGGCTGCACCATTCCTATGGAAAGCCCTTCCCCTCTCTGTAAGACTTTCACCCAGTCTCCACTCCTTCTAAAAATCTTTGAAAACGTACTTCTTCATGAAAGCATATCAATTAAACTATGAACAGTTTTCTCTCCCCGCTCCCCGATTTCTCTCCTGCAACTGTCATCAAAACAAAATACTAAGCCCTCAATGAACACTATCCTAGCAACCTACTTTTCTACCTTACCCTTACCTTTGGTGTCACTATACCCCACTCCCTCTAGCATGTAAGTTTAATGAGCGGGGCCCTCAATCCCTCTGTGTCCAACATGTCTGGTTATAAATACGTCTTTGTTAGTCCACCCATTGTACAACGTTGCAGAATTTGTTGGCTCTTTATAAATAATAATAATAATTAATCCTGGGGCACTATCGATTTAAAGCATTGAAACATTGACGCCATTAAAGGTACTTTTGCCTCATCACCCACAGAAAACCTTCATAATACAGAACTCTTTTTTTCTGTTACGTAATTTTAAAAAAAGAAATACACCCTTTAAAGTAATTAGTAGATGTGGGATTATGTGTTAATATGTACCACTATTTCAATTTTGGACTAAGGAACCCCCTTTGGGTGGGAGAACTTGATTATTGATTTCAGCACTTGATTTCTCCTGGCCACTCAGATGGTTATACCAGTTGTAATAGGTCTTATGGTATAAAGGCTAGGGAAATAGGGGAACCCTAACACAAATAAGCCAAAGATACAATGCTTTCCCGCATCCTTTGATATGTTTTACATGCTAGGTGGCTTGTGGACACATCACCATATATCCTGAATCCATTACTGCAAAGCTGAATATGATCATGGATTAATGTACAGTTAACTTCCATGCAAATCAAGGGTCCTATACCGTAGAGAGATAAGTGGGAGTTACATTCCCAAGGAGCAGTTGAATCATTTTAATTCAGCTCCCTCGTGGGAACAGCTGAGATAGCTGCAGACTGGGAATGTAACTCCCACTAATCTTGGAGAGCACTGGGACATGTGTGTCCAAACAGTAAACATCTCCCCTTAACACTTACATGTAGCATGTCGCTCAAGCCAGAGCAGGCACCTACCAATCGGCGTCTTACAGGTCGGGATGCTACACTGCAGGAGTCTGTTCTGAGGCTTCTCTATGCAACTGCGGAGACATGATATCCCAGCCCCAACATCAGTGGAGAGCTTCAGTAGAGATATTCCAGCAGCAAACCACTGGACCCCTCGGATAAGGTTACACTCCAGCTTCCTTTCAAGATAAGAAAAGGAAGGCTGTGGGGACTTTATTTTGGGGGGTGGGGAGGATAAGTACATGCATAATATTTCAATTTTTCAGTACAACGATTTGCCCTTTTATGCATCTGTTTCATGTAAATAATTTTCCTCAATATATTTAACATGGACACTATTTGGACAAGCCAGACTGCCACACGAATGAGCATGGGACAACTTGAACAGATTTTTTAAAATGTACTGTGTTCTTTTTGTAAAGTAATTTGGGCCAAAATAAATTTGTCTGCCATGTACAAGTCTATATATATTCTAACATTCTAACATTCCAGCCTCGGTGGAAGAGGAAGTTAATAGTTTAGAGGTTCCCAAACCAGTCCTCCTGGCCCACCAACAGTCCAGGATTTATGTATTTCCCTATTTTATTCCAATGGAGATACTAACCTGGACTATTGGTGGGTGGTGAGGACTGGATTGGGAATCATTGTACTAGATGCTGATCCCCCAGCTGGTTAATCTGGTTGTTAGGGACCTCTATTTGTTTGCTTTTTTGAGGAGTGTTACAGGGTAAAGTCAGGCCCTCACATTTCCTATTCATTATTTCCTGAAGCTAATTAGAGGCTATGTAGCCCCTATTACCAGTCATGTGTATTGGGAGGTAAAGGGTGTATATATAAATTATATATATATATAGAACAGTCAAATATTTTATTAGATTGGATATTTAGATAGAGCACCCAGACATAGTGAATCCAGTTTGTTTCAAAAATGGGCCTTTAAATGTCTAAATATCCTTACAAATAGGAAGCCAGATGTCAAAAATTCCTTACAAGGTAAATTGTTTAGATGCTTGCGTGATTATTTATTAAGAATAATGTACGAACAAACAATTATTACTGTGAAAAGATGGAAACCAAGGAATTTTTTTCCTGCCGATTAGTGCTTTGTCTCTTAACACACAACCCCCAACCACCGCGTTGCAAAAAAACAGGACAAAGTCATGTGTAACATAATTAATAGAACCTGCATTAAAACTGCTGCAAAGGAAGGAAGCGTTTAATGTGTGCAAGGCTCCTGAAGGTGGCAGAATAGCATTACCATAGACTAAAAGCCTTTGTTTGCATTCAGTCATTACACAATCTGCAAACAGCCGATTCCAAAGGACAGTCAGTACTATAAACATGCACTAAAAATAAAGCACTGTGAAGAGACAGAGGAAAAATAAGAACTGCAGCTAATATTATAAAACCAAAACAAATGGGTAAATATATAATTTCTAATTTTTCTTTACATTAACCCTTAAAACCTGCCTTGTCATGAATTGTGATCCCTACGTGGATACAGTGGCAAAAAAACAGCTTCAGCTGCTGTAGATCTGCGATCCCAAAACCAGGGGCATGAGTCAGGGGGCTGACGGGCTGGGGCCCCGAGTGGAGTTCTGAAGAGCCCCAAGTCTTATTTTGCCACCATTTTATTATTAGTCTACAGTCCTCTGTAATAGTGAGAGAGAGAAATAACACCTCCAATTGTATCATTTGTGACAGCGTCACTTTAATTTGGAGTTTATAGGGGTGGAATGGGGGTGTTTATTGTGGGTACACTGTAGCATTTTAATGCAGTGGAGCAAAGGGTTAATACAGCATGGCTTCAGGTTAATTTAGCATGTGTGGATTTATTAAATGTTGGTTCATGTAATATTCTGAATTCGAAGATTTGATGTCACATTATGATTTATTGAACACATTGTGGTTTTGAGTTGGATTCAGAGGGGAATGGTATAGGGCTGGTTTTAGTTGAGGCTTAAGTCAATTATATGTGGGAAAGCCATAAAAGTTACCCTTCAGTAAGAGCCTGGTCTATTTGCCACCTAGAAATGCCCATTTCCAAAACCACCATAGGAATTGCAGTTCACCTAACTGGGGAACAACCTAGTGACTCTAGTTCTATTCTAACTGGGGATTTACCTTTTGCCCATGGGGCTATTACGCAAGCATTTAAAGCAGCTGCTTAGAGTAAACTCAATCAGATATCACCTTTAACTCTTTCGGGGACCAATGACACTCCCAAACTGTTATGATGAAACTGAATTAGTCCATTCATCGTCCATAAAGAGTTAAGAACAAAAAAATAAAAATAAACTGCGCGTGCCCGTGTTTGTATGATGTGAGTGTATGTATCATTGCATATCTATGTATGCATGTCACTGTGTACATAGGTGGAGGACGGGTCAGGAGATAAACACAAAGGGATGAGTGGGCACGAAACTACACAAAAGTTTAAAACTTAAGGGGGGTACCAATATAGATTTCCACTCCGGGTGACAAGTGACCTAGCTACACCTCTGTGTTGCAATGTTCAGGCTTTGCAGAGTGGACTGTGAGTGAGCCTGAATTTGGCCTGAATGACAGTCGTACCAAAAGCTGCCAGGCAGCTGAAATCTGAACGTGGTTTGTTAAAATCTGGGCCTGGATGCCTAACTGGATCCAAACTCTTTGTCCACTGACAGCTAGCAGCTAAAGAGCGAATAGTGAACAAAATACTCTGAGGAGTGACGGTTAAGTTCTTTGATGTTTAGCCAGTGGACTAGCCTCCACATTAAAAAGTTTTTTACAAAAAAAAGTATGGGGTCAATTTGAACCCCATGTTAGTAATTGAGAGATCCAATACCCCCCCCCCCCTCCACTGGCCATGGCATGAGTGGGAGAATGTATAATAAACAGTGAGCTGCACTGTAATTAAAAACTATCAACTGAGCAGCTATTGGTAATGGAGTCTGTAAATTACCGTGGGGGAGGAGAGAATACCTGGCACAGAGATACCTCGTGATCCCAACCATAGGCATCAGGTGGAGGCTTAAAATTCAATAGTGGGATGGGCTAGCCGACCCCTGCCCCCACCTGTTGCCAGCAAGTGGGGGATCTATAAAAAGAAATATGGGATATACATACTAAAGCAGGGGTATGCAACCTTCAGTACTCCAAATGTAAACTATAACAAAGAGCATTATGGGAGATGTATTCAAAACTTCTAAACTGTAGAAGGTTGCTTACTGTTATGGTTCTCACCGTGACATCCAGACGTGGTCGCCCCAGACGTGCCCAACAGGGGACATGAACCTGGATCCTGCTGTGTCGTGGGCCTGCTGTTTTGCCTTCCAGCCACAATTCAGCTCATGTATCAACATGAAGTCCGATCTTGCCTTATCTCCAGCATTAAGGGGCTAGACATTTCCTGTGGCTGCCCCTGTCAATCTCAGTCCACCTGAAGCAGATGCCAAATCAGCCAGGCATAAAACACTGCCTCTGTCTGAGGGCAGGGCCAGTTCATTGACTCTGGTTCCTTAATTTATGTATCTTGATCCAGTGTTCTCCAGATGGCTCCTGACCTTGGCTTATCTCATCGTTTATTCTGACCTCTGACTTCGGCTTTCCACTACTACTCTTCTGCTTGCCCTTGCCTCTACTGTGACTTGGAGCTATATCCTGCACAGCCCCCGTGCACAGAATCATAGCCCAGGTGTATTCTTACCTGGTCACCTTGGTCAGTGTTTATTTGCAAGGGTGAGCGTATAACTCTGCACTCCGGACACTTACTCCCCCAGGAACACTAAAATCATAGGTGGCAGGTGGGGAGTACTACTATAATATCCTACTGTTCCCCCCGAGCCTCCACCTATGGTTGGGGGTGAGGGTTATTTCAAAAAATCATGAAGGAGGTAGACAAGCTATCCCACCTACCCCCGTCACCCTAAAAATAGTGAGGGGGGGTCAATAAAAATCTTATATCTGTAAAATAAAATTTCTCCCTTATCTACAGAAGTCTTAGTTTTTCTTAAATAATATTTTCTTAATTTCCAACAAAGGCCAACTAAAAAGCTTCTGTATCCCAACACTACTATTAAAAATGTTATAAAACATTCAGAACCAAAAGAAAATCATGATGAAAAAACAAAAACCACACCACAAAAAAAAATCTCTGCGTAGACTGAGCTTTCAAAGAAAGAAAATCCTTTTTAAATGCTTTGCCATGTCACTAGAGCCCTCAGATTGTGCCCGGCTTCTGTAAATTTACTGATAGCTCCATTCAGGTGTTCTTTTTGAAACAAGGTATAAACTGGTTGCACAAGCATGCAGTCTTGGCATAGAGTACGTCAAAGTAATATGTGAAGGATCCTGTTGGACAGGCAAGCCTCATCTTATGAGAACTAGATCCCAAATCAATGTCGTGTTCAAAGCGTTGTCTTCTATAAAGTGGTGCAAATATGTAAAAGTGGAAGAGTCACCAATGGAATGCGTTGGCAAGTTCCACTTATTCCCATAATAATTGTCCCACTATTAGTACTTTAGACCATTTTTTTCAAACAGAATGGTTTTATAAATGTTGCCCATTGATTAATTGTTTTATTTAATTGGAAGCACATTACTTCCACGTATAACTGGGCAGCATTTTCACCCTCTTCCCAACAGAATGCAAAAGTCATACGTGTCCCTCATAATTTCACAAAAAGGTTTATTTGCTAAATTACAAATTGAACTACAATTTATATCTGAATGCTAAAACTGAGGATATATCAGCTGATAGTCCTTTTTAATACACAGGCAAAGTGTGAGCAGGAGTGGCTGTCTGTGATATCTTATTACAGATACAATATATATCTGCAAGTCTTCTAGGAATCCCAGCGTAGCAACCACAGAAAAACACACGTTTATCGACCAGATCATTAATTTTTGTCATACCAGTTCATGCAACAGAAACATACTTAGAGACATTCCAGCCTCGTATGTTTGTCTTACATGACTTTTTACCATTATGTGTACACATCAGGTAAGAAGTTAAACTGTTCTTAAATGGTTTGACTACTTACATGGGATGGTGGCATTGCACTCCTGGCACCATAACCACTACAGTGCACTTTCTAGCAAACTGGCAGGTCTTCGCATAAGGATTGCATGCCACCTTGCCATAACAAACAATGGTATTTGTTGAAAACAAAATGCAATAAATAAGAATCAATGGAAGAAAGGATAGTTACAGATAGCTTGGAGATACACACACCGTATAGAGGTACAAATATAATCCTACTTAGAGATATATAAAATAATGTTGCCAAATAAATAGCTGTATATAATTATTCCATGATGTGAATTTTAGATACTGCCGAGCGGCAATACTCATACAGTCTAACGCATATCTTCAAACAGTCCCAGATCCAGTGGAAAAGACCCATATTGAAAACAAGATGAGTGCATTATTAAACATGCATGAGAATGCATGATTCTATGCCAAGACGTTTCTGCCCATAAGAGTGCGTAAGCAAAACGGCCAAGCACCATAACCACATACAACATATCTACTACTATATCCTCTACAGTTAGCCTTCCCGAGCTATGCCCTGCAGTGTAGGGCTAGCTCAATGGCTGAGAGTGTCATCTGATCGCACTCAGCCAATGAGTTAAGAGTGCTTCTGATTTTCTGTTGGAAGTAGTGGTGGCAGGGAGTGATGTCCAGTAGATATCAGGTAAGAAGTTAAACTGTTCTTAAATGGTTTGACTACTTACATGGGATGGTGGCATTGCACTCCTGGCACCATAACCACTACAGTGCACTTTCTAGCAAACTGGCAGGTCTTCGCATAAGGATTGCATGCCACCTTGCCATAACAAACAAGTTATTGAAATAAAAATACCGTATATCACCGTATCATAGTCGCACCCTGGTTTTTTGCAGACCAAAAATTGGTTCAAATTCAATTCATCACGTAATAGTCGCATAATTGACCATTTCTGTTTTTGTTGTGACATTCTTAGTCTTGAAAACTGATGGCGAACATCCTACTGATCTTATACCGAAGAGAGGGTTTATTACCTATCAGTTTTTTTATATTTTGGTGCATTTTGTCAATGTAATGCATTAAGAAATGAAAGGAGGAAAGGGATCAGGATCAGAGATTATGTAATGCATTAGAAAATATGCTGTTATGTTATTAGCAACTATTATATTATCAACTGTTAAAAACATTTTTTTTTTAAAAACAAAGCTTTGCATATATAATATCGCAAAAAATAAAGTTTCACGTAATAGTCATACACCGCATAATGGTCGCACCCCCCATTTTTAAGGAAAGGAATTAGGCATAAAATCTGCAACCATTATGCAGTGAAATACGGTATTTTTTTTGTATAGTTAATTTATGTGTCATTAATACAAAATTATTTCTCTTGCAAATAGATGAAGAATAGCAAGTTCATCAAATGTGTACAGCAAATGGCATCCCAACTACACACTGCTACTATTAGGGAAGAGGTGATAAAGGTAGCAATCCTGACATCCTTTACAGATTATGGCTGTGCCCCATCTGGAAGATATTTTTGTGACCACCCCAGTTCGTGTCTCCTACCCAAAGGTGTTTAAAGCTGTGCCCGGCTTCTGTAAATTTACTGATAGCTCCATTCAGGTGTTCTTTTTGAAACAAGATATAAACTGGTTGCACAAGCATGCAGTCTTGGCATAGAGTCCGTCTAAGTAATAAAAACCCTGGAATATGGGGCAAGGCCAGCATTAAAATAATTGTCTCCTCAACTCTTCCCTTCCAAGAGAGTCAACTACAATCAAACCTATGGATTACTTTGACAAGTAGATACTCTGGGACAGATAGCAGGAAATTATGTAGCAGTTAACATAAAAATAAAGTGGATTCTATTAGATAAATTACTTATACTAGCCTGTATACCTCATTGCACAAGTTCATTGTGTAATCAACTGGTAATGTAGAACTCTACAGTAACAGGTCCAGCATTGTATCAGTGTGCGTGTATCATCTCGATAAAGCAGGTGGTGATAGCATGTGATCTTGCTGCTCTCTACAACATAAGGCGCAGATAACAAGAGAAGTTCAAAACTTCAGGACCCTTGGACTTGTGAGTCTGATAGCAAATTCAATTCCAACAACTACATGCCTGTTTGACAAATGTTTTGTTCAAACACCAAAAGTAAAAACGTGATATGTGACTTTTTGTTAGAGCAATAACTAGAAAATTTAAAGATACTAGAACTGGACCTCTAGAATGTAGCGTGATCTGAAATCTCCAGAGTGTTCAGACAACTGAATTTGGCCTCCAGAATATTGAATGTCCAAACACTAGAAACTGACTTTCAGAATGTTCAGCCACTAAAACAGGACATCCAGATTGGACAAACACTAGAACAGGACCTCTAAAAGCAACAGTCATTAGGACAGGACCTCCAGAATGGGCAGACATTAAAATATGACCTACAGAATAGGTAGACATGAAAATAGGACCTCTGGAATGGCAAGACATCGGTATAGGACCTCTACAATGGTCAGACATTAAAATTGGACCTCCAGAATGCATAGACATAAGAATAGGAACTCCAAAATTAACAGAAATTTGAATAGGGCCACTGAAATAGACAGACATTTATCTAAGCCCCTGGGGTGTTGTAGGTACTTGGGATTTGCTATCTCTGGTGAAATAATTAAAATGTTTTTTTTGGGGGGGTGGGGGGGTTGTTTCCTCTATTTCCAAGCACTTTGTCAATTTGAAAACACATTTACTACCATATTAGCACTCACACTGTGGCATCAGGCCTCCACGAAACTGGAATCATAACATATTAATTCATCCAACGGCCTACAGAGGGATTTCGCGTGTTCATTTGCTGTATTGCAGCTTTGCTTTTCCAGTTTTTATGTTTGTCAGCACAACATATGGGCAAGATAATTTGTATTCCACGTATTAGGCTGGCAGTGTAAATTATTAAAAGCCCTATTCAAGGAAGCATTATCCACCATATGTAATTTTTTTTTCTTGTTTCACAGCATTTGCTTAATGCATCTATTCAGACAAGAGAGAAAAGAAAAACATGAAGCTTCATTTTCCAGAGTACCCAAAAGAAAATGTTTATTATCCAAACATTCACCACAAGGGACGCAGAAAATAGACCCTAGTAATCCCATATGACTAACACAAGCTGGTGATAATTAGAAACAAACCATTAGACAGGGTTTACTAACCAAAGCACTGCAAATACTATCATGCCCAGCCAGCCTGAAGCATCATGGGAAGCAAAGTCCAGAAACATCTACACTACTAAGATTTACCATCGCTAGACTATTAGATTTGAATGTTGTGCTGCAAGCATCCTATGTTGTTGATTCACTAAACGGTGAATTCTACCAAAAGCCAAATTGCAAAACATAGGCCAACCTAGTTGAGCTGGACAATTATCTTGAATTCTGCTTTCCTTAGAATTTCAATTCACTACTGTTAAGTGTATAAATCATTATATGAAAAAAAGATATTAATAAAAAGGACACACACGTGTAATTCTGCAATTCCTTCCTTCTAGGTTTTCTTATATTTATAGACCACGTACTCACATTTATACAACAGCACTCATGCTATAATAGCTGTAGTTTTCTCTGAAAGGCATATTTATTGCTCCCAGCATCTATTATTATAGAACACACAATACGGAGACTGGAGACTGCAGTATCTCAGCAACAATACGATGCAGATGTGTTCTAAAGGGTATCTATCAAGGGGAAAATGAAACACTTCAGGGTTCATTTACTAAGTCGGGAATTGTTAAGAATTGTCAAAGGAAAATTTTTAGAAAATATATAGTAAACATGTAAAAACTATTTGCATCTCAATGATTTTATAGGTCAGTTTTGTTTTTTTAGCTAATTGCAATTTTCCTGACAAATATATGTAATTCCACGACTAATGAACCCATTTGAGTTTTGTATCTGCCTTCTATAGTCTCTGCATATTTTGCAAAGACCTTCATAGACCAGTCTTTTGATACATGAGAGGATTACGGTTTCCCACTATCATTATTAGCAATGTATATGGGTATTGACATATGCTGACAGCAGAAGCTCCCCCTATTATCACAGTTTGAGAACTTCATTCTTGACCATAAAGCAAAGTAGTCCCTAGTTTGTTTTACGCAATTTATTTTTATTGCATTAGAATTTCAAAGAAATTCCAACATAGCCAATATGGGTATTTCAAAAAGATTGTGGTTACAGGGTCATTTTAATTGCATGGCAGAATAATGTCTAGCATTAGGTGCCAAAATTGTAAAATATTAATCTAGTACTCCTGCAGACTGTCGAATTTTAGAAATTTCCCATCGTATCAATTACAAGATTAAAATCCAGTTTGGTGTATTTAGAAAGGGGTTCCATCCCTTACCAGACTTGCAAAATAGTTTATGAACAAAACTCCCATCAAAGTCAGTAAGTTCATTGTTTATGGAAAGTTGAAGGGGCTATATGAACTTGAAGCTGTAAAAGTTCTCCTGGAAGACCTAGTCTTCAAAAAATAGTCTTACAAGTTTTTGACGGACTGTCTGGCACCCCGACTGGGTACCTCCATCAAGCTCACTTCCTAGCTCTCCTCTGGGACACAGGAGTACTTCAGCCCTACCCGCTGCAGCTTGGCTGGGGTCTGAACGTCGCTTCTTGCCCTGGAACAGGGTTCTGTATACAGCTTCAAGTGATTAAGCTCTACTGAAAAAAGTATAGCTGACCCACCCAAACACTAGCCTAAACGAGTGAAGGGTGAAAAGGAACGGCTTTATTATGGCCAAGTTGTCTGCTTATATACACAACCCCCATCAGGGGGGTCTCCACAGAATACAATGCAAGCCCCTCCCAAAGATTGCTGTGCTTGGGAGAGAATTGAGAAGACCCTGATCTGAGCGCCAAAGTTCTCAAAATGCCGCTCAGATCCATGCAGTGTAGGGGAATCGCCACCGTGTTAAAGTTCTGACCAGCTGCACCCGTGGTCCTATGCCCAAAATAGTTCCAAGGCGTTTGGTGCTTTTGCAGGACAGCTTTCGGGAGCTCCTGCAGCCGCAATGCAGGGTGCTCTGTAAAACACACAATCAGTCCATTAAAAATAAATGGAAGGTAAATATTATATATATATCTATATTTGTGGTTGGGTCAAAGGCAGAGACATACATTCAAATTTATTTTATACCAATAGTAGCAAGTCGGCAGTGGTGTGTCTAAACCGATGAATGGGAAAGGCCTTAAAAAAAAGAGGGCTCATCTATTGAAAGAGTATAATCAGGGAAAGGTGGGGAGGGGAGTTCCAAAACATTGGCAGAACATCAGGAGGAAACTGGGAGAATGGGAGTAGATATAAGCCGGCAAAAAGCCCTCCCACAACTCCAGGCATATTGCGCATATATATATATATATATATATATATATATACACATACATACATACATACATATACCTGCCAAAAGAGTTGTGGTGGAGAAAAAAGTGTGGATGAAAACCCCTTCCACCTGAAGTAAGTGAACATCCACTTACTTCAGGTGGAAGGGGTTTTCATCCACACTTTTTTCCCCACCACAACTCTTTTGGTATGTACTTGACAAGTAATGCCAAGCCTCCATAGCAAGTCAGTAACCAGCCTCATGCTGATGAGATGCATTAACAACGAAACAGCTGTCCATGAGTGGTTCACTGGCTTTGCTCCTCTTCCTGAGTTGTGTTTCAAAGCTGTTGTATACAGCAGACAGACTCCAAGGAATCCATGTATAAAGTGAAATTATGAGGCAAAAATGTGGATCTTTGTTGAGCTAATTTGCATACGCCTACCCAGAATCTCTTGCAGTAGTGAGAGCACTGTTAAAGTGTGATTTCTGTGGGAAAAGCAAGTTATTTTCAATAATTGTGTTAATGATATCTGAATTACTGGATTTGCACAATCATTTCAACCTATATAATACATTTACAGACTTCACTATCTGTGTAAACCACTTTAGGACACCATATTCAGTGCTATTCACTCAAGTAAGAATTCAAAGTGATTTTTAAATATAGAGAAAATAACCAATATTTAAATATGGCTATTCTGTCCTTAAATTTTAAATTCAATTTGAATTCTCACTTTAGTGAATAATCTCAAACAAAATTTTGGAAACTTTGGAGAAAAAAAAAAATGTTCATTGATCTGATCGAAAATAAAAAAGCAGTTCACTAAATATTCAAAAGAACACTCTAGGGTCGGCAACACAAATGTATTCCTGACTATATAGTGTTTAGAAAAAAAACTATCAAACCCCCTCCCCCCCCCCACCTTCCTAAATATAGTAAAATCTTACTTGTATTCAAGTCTACAGCTGCTGTTTCTGCCCCTCTCTGCTGAAATCAGCAGAAGTGGTGGTCTGAGCCAATCACAATGCTTCCCCGTAGGATTTGCGTAGACTGTCATAAAGGAAGATTAGGGGCAGAGCCAGCACAAGTCAAACACAGCCCTCCTCATATAGATTAATTGAATTAATGCATCTCTATGTGGAAAGTTTAGTGTCGGTCTGCAGAGGGTGGAGACACTGAATGGCAGCACTGCCCCAGGAAGCACCTCTAGCCGCCATCTGAGGAGTGGCAAATTGAGTTATCACTAGGCTGTAATGTAAACACTGCATTTTTTTGTCTGAAAAGACAGGGTTTAGGGCAAAAAGCCTTAAGGGAATGATTGTACTCACCAGGACAAATACAATAAGCTGAAGTTGTTCTGGTGACTATAGTGTCCCTTTAATGTATGCAACCTTTCTGCTATTATTTCTGCTTATGCGACCCTTACTTTATATTTATTTCACCATCTGTGATATAATAGCCAAACTGGATACATTTTCCAAATTGGCTGTTTTTCCATTTATTTATTTTTTATTTTTGTTATGCTTCAGAGGAACAAACAGTCTTGCACTGCCCCAACAGCAGTAGAGAATCAGTATACATAGTTAAACAGTAAAAGGCATTATTTTGTTGGATGTGCTACCACCCTGGTTGCTAAGATAACAAATGACACAAATTTTCAGACCGCAAATAAATATCAGTACCTGCAAAATCTTCAAAATCCTCATTTAGAGAAATTCAATTTTAGTGTCATTTATAAACATCTTAATAATTTAAAAATGAAAAACCAGTGTGGACCAGATCCCAGCAATGTTGCTGAAGCTCAGTGCCCCAGAAATTGTTAAACCTGTTACCACCCTTATCAATGAATCCCTGGTGTCAGGATACATACCCAAACTTTGGAAGACTGCAAAAGTTGCACCTATCCATAAAAGTGGTGACAATACTTTGGTATCTAAATATCACCCGATATCCTTTCTCCCTGTATTTTTAAAATCTTGGGAAATTCATCCACACACAACTATGTCAATATTATCAACAATCAAATTATCTGACCCCTGATCAATCAGGCTTTTGTCCAAATTACTCAACTTCAACTGCACTCTTAAAAGTTTGCAATGACATCCAAATTGGCATGGAACAAGGTGACTTAACTGGAGCTATTTTCCTTGACTGTGCCAAGGCCTTTGACACAGACTATGGCATTCTTTTGCAAAAACTTAAAAACTCAGGCATTGGTGATCGTCCGCTAACCTGGTTTTGATCGTGTGTTTCAGACTGATTGCAATATGTGACCGTTTCTGATAGCTTTTCCTTCCCTCTTCCAGTCATGTGTGGTGTTCCCCAGGGATCCATCCAGTACTGGCACGATATTTTGCATACCGCAATACAAAAATAAAGTTGCTCGATCCTCATTTTCCTACAGAGCACCGCAATTATGAAATAACCTTAGGGACACAGTCCAATCTTCATTCAGTCTAAAATCTTTTAAGAGATCTATGGCAATATGCGTCAACACAGAATGCACCTGTCATGGTTGAATATATTTATTACCCGTTACGTATTAAATTTATATATGTATGTATATATATAGTTTGTTTATTTTTGAAAAATTGCATCCTATTGTAACAATGCAATGTTTTGTGGACCCAGGACATACTTGAAAACGAGAGAAATCTTAATGTATCCAGCCTGGTAAAATATTTTATAAATAAAATTCATGTCAGAATTTCAAGAATTTATTGTTAATTGGATTAACCATGTGATCCATTATGACTAATTTAATGGGTATATATACCAGTGTATGTTTGTATTCACTATGCATGATTAAGGCTATATAGACAAAACATCGCATATTACCCTACAATAAAGAAAACCGTCACAGATCTTGGAGTGTCACCTGTGTTCCTTGTTGTTGCACTCTGATTTCTGCAGATTGCGGTGTTTGCTATTTTCACAGATCACCTCCCAAATAAATGGCTGGATTGTTGAGTGGAACCTTAGTGCGGGGTTAATTGTTTTTTGTGGTGCAGTGGGAGCCCAGTGAGCACGTGTCTGTTCAGCTAGCAGGTCAGGCTCTGCCCCTTTTCCATTTATTTTAACCTACAGGGAGTGCAGAATTATTAGGCAAATGAGTATTTTGACCACATCATCCTCTTTATGCATGTTGTCTTACTCCAAGCTGTATAGGCTCGAAAGCCTACTACCAATTAAGCATATTAGGTGATGTGCATCTCTGTAATGAGAAGGGGTGTGGTCTAATGACATCAACACCCTATATCAGGTGTGCATAATTATTAGGCAACTTCCTTTCCTTTGGCAAAATGGGTCAAAAGAAGGACTTGACAGGCTCAGAAAAGTCAAAAATAGTGAGATATCTTGCAGAGGGATGCAGCACTCTTAAAATTGCAAAGCTTCTGAAGCGTGATCATCGAACAATCAAGCGTTTCATTCAAAATAGTCAACAGGGTCGCAAGAAGCATGTGGAAAAACCAAGGCGCAAAATAACTGCCCATGAACTGAGAAAAGTCAAGCGTGCAGCTGCCACGATGCCACTTGCCACCAGTTTGGCCATATTTCAGAGCTGCAACATCACTGGAGTGCCCAAAAGCACAAGGTGTGCAATACTCAGAGACATGGCCAAGGTAAGAAAGGCTGAAAGACGACCACCACTGAACAAGACACACAAGCTGAAACATCAAGACTGGGCCAAGAAATATCTCAAGACTGATTTTTCTAAGGTTTTATGGACTGATGAAATGACAGTGAGTCTTGATGGGCCAGATGGATGGGCCCGTGGCTGGATTGGTAAAGGGCAGAGAGCTCCAGTCCGACTCAGACGCCAGCAAGGTGGAGTACTGCAAAGATGAGCTTGTGGGGCCTTTTCGGGTTGAGGATGGAGTCAAGCTCAACTCCCAGTCCTACTGCCAGTTCCTGGAAGACACCTTCTTCAAGCAGTGGTACAGGAAGAAGTCTGCATCCTTCAAGAAAAACATGATTTTCATGCAGGACAATGCTCCATCACACGCGTCCAAGTACTCCACAGCGTGGCTGGCAAGAAAGGGTATAAAAGAAGAAAATCTAATGACATGGCCTCCTTGTTCACCTGATCTGAACCCCATTGAGAACCTGTGGTCCATCATCAAATGTGAGATTTACAAGGAGGGAAAACAGTACACCTCTCTGAACAGTGTCTGGGAGGCTGTGGTTGCTGCTGCACGCAATGTTGATGGTGAACAGATCAAAACACTGACAGAATCCATGGATGGCAGGCTTTTGAGTGTCCTTGCAAAGAAAGGTGGCTATATTGGTCACTGATTTGTTTTTGTTTTGTTTTTGAATGTCGGAAATGTATATTTGTGAATGTTGAGATGTTATATTGGTTTCACTGGTAATAATAAATAATTAAATGGGTATATATTTGTTTTTTGTTAAGTTGCCTAATAATTATGCACAGTAATAGTCACCTGCACACACAGATATCCCCCTAGCATAGCTATAACTAAAAACAAACTAAAAACTACTTCCAAAAATATTCAGCTTTGATATTAATGAGTTTTTTGGGTTCATTGAGAACATGGTTGTTCAATAATAAAATGAATCCTCAAAAATACAACTTGCCTAATAATTCTGCAATCCCTGTATTATCTATACTTCCCTTGTCATAACTTACAGTCAAATAGTCTACAGGCTGTTGTAGTGGTTATGGTTCCAAGAGCCCCCTGGCATTTCACAATAAATTATCAGAGATTTAAAAAAAAATTTAGCACATACCTGGATCTCCAGGCACCTGGTACAGTTATGGGTGTGGCTACAATACCCAAACTGCCCATGTAATTGAATTAAATCCAAGTGCATTTCCTACAGATCACACAAAACTACAAACTATTTGTGCCACTAGCCCCAAGGTATTAACTAGAAAATTTACTTAGCCAGGAGCAAATTTGGACGGAGTATCAGAGATGCTGGTACTTGAGTTCCACACTTGAGCAGCAAACAAAAAAAAACAAACCTCAATACCACACTCCTGTGATATCCCATAAACAATCACCAATAAGTTCCATAAAAAGTGGTGTATTGGTCCATATATTAATACATGGCAATAAAAAGCAGACCACTCGGATTTAAATGCAGTGATAATCGGTCTACGTGCTGTAAAAATAGTGTGAAAACAAAATATTATCGGAAAGCTGAGCACTTTTCCCGTCTACCACAGACACTTCCTCAGAAGTCTCCGGTTATATCTGTATACTTGCAGAGCCAGGCAGAGACCATTTATAGCAGAGAATGAAAAAAAATAAGGGCAAGGAGAGATACCAGATAAAATAGATTACAATAGAAACAAATAAAAGTGCAGTGAAGAGTACTAGATAAAATATTTGGATTATTTCAATTAGCAATAAGAGCAGGTACCCAAAGGGAGATCAGCAACAGTCCAAATAAAGGGAATTCTTGGGAACCACAAGGGTTCTTAATGGTTTCTCCCTTATTGTGATACTCAGGATTCATAAAAAGGAAAAATAAAAGAGAGACCCAATAGTGTAATAAGTCCATGTAAAATTATCAAGGATATAAAAGATTTTTCAATCTACTCACATGTCCTAGAGCAGGTATGTCCAACCTGCGGCCCCCCCAGATGTTGCTTAACTACAACTCTCATGATTCCCTGGCTAGTCTTTTTAATTGAAAGAATCATTCAGTGGTAATTAATCCCCCACTTATAGGATATTTTTGATGGTAGAGGTAGTCGTCACCGGATGGCAAATCACACCAGAGCTGGCCTAAGCTCCACTCGCAAGTAAAAATGTAGCCATGACCAAAAGAAATATGAATATACATTTTTAATATGGTTTAGGGTCATTATTGGATCAAGATTCCACTCAGTACATTGTTAAATAATTAGGACTTCAGCAGCAAGCAATCAACATCTTATGCTGGTAGGGGAGGGTGTTTGTATTCAAAGTTTGATTACTGGAGGGGGTGGAGTTTTGCTCCAAGTAGTAAAGGTTATGCTCAGCATTTCCATAGAAATTTATAAGAACAGTAGGATTGGTAGAAGATCATTGCAAAAACAGCTAAGCCTTTGTTTAATGCAATATCTAAATTACCCCTTTAACAAGTTATTCTAAGCACCATAAACATTTCAGAGACTTTAAGTGGTTATGTTGCATGGAGTCTGTATGTGCAGGGTTTCAGTAAGATACACTGCACCTATTGAGATGTTGGGTGAAGCTGCCAGATTTGTAGGTCCACATTTAACAGCATTGTTAGCCCATCCATCAACAAAAGTACTAGTGGCTAATGTTCCAAGAAGCTCTACCATCCTACCCTGTCTTACTACCTACTGCTACTTACAGTTTAGTGTCCTGCCAGATCTTCATCCATATTGGCAAATCCACTATGGTGGTTGCCGTAAGTCTCTTCCTCTACCCACCCCCCCCAAACCATGCACACAAAAATTATCAGTATCTTGCAAGCATCATTGCTGGAAGGAGGTAAGATTTGGTCACTGATGAAGTAGACCCTGACATGGAGCTTGATTGAAATCTCCACCTTTTGTCAAGCTGGGGTTTCTACACAAGGAAGAGTATTTACTACTTTTCCAAATGTACAACTTGCTAAAGCAAAAACCTACGTCAAACCACATTGGAGCAATATAAATAAAATTAGTACCAGAGCAGCTTCAAACCTGTGCATAAAATATATCCGTCTTCAACACAGCATGCTGGTGACAGATCTCCCCTCCAGTGGTGCCATTCTAAACGGTCCCTCTGAAATCCTTCACACTCTGGTGAGGGGGGTTTGTAATGTCACAGGTGAATGATCAGGCTGCAGAGTGCACTTGGCTAAACTCTGAATTAATTTTTCTTTTTTTAAAGGATGGGAGTGTAAACCACAGCAAGGTTTACTACAACACAGTTTTAGATAGGGGTAAACAAATTTCAAACAAGGAGTAACCTTGCATAAATTACGGTTTTGTTTGAAAAATTCAAGACTGATCAAAAATAGATTGGGACAGGTGGGAGGTAGATGCCCAGAGAGGAGGGGGAAAAAAAAAAATTATTAATGATGCGGGGTGAAATTGCAGCTTGTTATAACACAAAGCAGGTCTTTACCGCCAGCAGGTGTAGTTAATAGGGAGCTCTGGACACTTCCTGTTGGTTGCACTGAGCAGAGCACAACACCCTTACATCTCTGCAAGTCAAAATAAATACAGCCATACACTCACAGGGACTCAAGACAATGAATGGGTGTCATGTTAAACAAAATGATTTGCGAGGCCAAGTAAGTTGTCAGTCCTGGATGGGAGATCAGGACTTTGTCTTATGTAGTCTAGGGGTTTATCATTTCATTTAGACCAGAGCTTAAAATTTCTAAGCCAATGCTACTACCCAGGGGGTACCCAAAAGTTATATCCCCAGAAGTTTTAACACGTCAGCTTCCATGATGCTCTGTCATTCTAAAAGACATGCAAAGAATCATGGACGTTTTAGTTCTACGTCTGGGGAGCTACCTTTTGGGCACCACTGCAAGCCTTGAGAAACCATGTCACACCCACAAGGAATAGATTTTCACTCACCAATGGAGAGTGGAAATTCTGAACTGTGATCTACATTAGTGTCTTTAATACACCCCATTGTGTGTTACACAGTATTGGCAAGTAGGAGCTCAGTCAATCACCTTGCTGTTCCAAGTTATGCCACAGATAGATAATATAGTTAAGCTGTTCAGACTTAAAAACCCTCAAGTATATTATATTAGTTGTAATATTCCCTGAATAGACAGTAATAATTTGATAAGAGGCAGAAATGGCACTGCATTAAATAAGAGTACCATCACTATAGCATTAAACAAGACACTAGGGCTTTGCGGAAAGTGGATATCTGCCTTCAAGATGCTGTGGTGGTTTAACAAAATTATTCTGAATTATTGTCTTGACTATGCCACATACTTCCTTAGAACAGCAAGTTACCAAATGGTCAGAATAGGACTAGTTTATTTTTGTAGTCTTTAAATAAGGAAACAAGTACTCCAAATACAAAAGATTAGTTATAGCAAACCTTTACCTGGAGTTAAAGTTGTTTTAATATTCCATATTTAAACTATGAAAAGTTTTACATGTATATACTGTAACAGTTCCAAAACAATTCTGAAAAACAGGAGAATACAATATGAAACCTGTAGCATGGGCCACAAAAGAGGTTGTAAATAAACTGAAGTGATAAAAAGATTTTTGTAGAAAACAAAAAGTTGGGTGGTGGTTACTAGTCCAAACAATCATATAAGCAATAAGACTTACTAGCCAGACTAGTATAAACTTCCAATCTTGTGGATACACTTTAAGGGAAAGTGTAAGGCACAGTTAACTATGCAAACTTTTCGGGCAGTGGCCAGATTATATTTAGAGTTGCAAAAACCTCTAACTGGTAGAGCGAGTCATTACTTATTTTGCAAGTTTGCATCTAGTGATTTTTTATTTTTATTTTTTTTAATTAGTGCTGCTAAATAAAAGCAATACAATAAACCAGCTTTATGTGCCAAGTAAACAGCAGCCTTCAGATACAGCAAGACAACCTGTGACTAGATTACAGTAAAACCAACATGTCAGTTAGAATCTTGTCAAGAACAGTCTTAAAAATGTAATACTGTTTTATTTTGCTTCAAAAACATTTCAGCATTCTAGACAAAAAATAAAACAGAACAAAAAAAACCAATGCAAGTAAGGTAAATGTACAGAATGTTTTTGAACTTCCAGATACTGTACTCAATCTTCACTTTATTCAGGGAAGACATGAATACAGTCTTAGTTTAAAAACTACTGCACTTAACTATTTTTTTTTATTAAAAAAAAATAATCCATGTTTCTCATGCCAGCTGAACCCCTTTGACAACCAATGGCAGAATGCTATTTCACTATATACAGAAAGGAAAAAAAAGAAAAGAGCTAAACTGACGCCTAATGTAGTGTAAAAATTGATCTCAACGTGCATGCTTTTGGCCTCAAAGGCAAACCCTAGGAAGGTGTTAAAATCCAGGAAAGTTTAAACCTTGAAGTACCAACCACTCCAAAAATATGCACCATTAGGAACTGGTCTAGTTTACAGATTAGATATGTACAGTTTAGAACCCAGGATTTTCTAAATCAAAAAAACATTTAGTAACACCTTAAATAAAAAAAATAAAAATGCTTGAAACATTTTTAAATGCTTTGTTACACCAACAGCAAAGTGCACAGAGTAAGGAGAACACTATAGCGCCTTTTCATTTTTAAAAATGTTTGGAAATATATACAACTTTGATACAGTTTCAGATTGCTCGTTTTAAAGACATGGCTACATAATGTAAACCTGTTGCAACTCCATGAGCTTTTTTGTTGAAACTATGATCAGAACCCAATTTTGCAATTAAACCTAATGAGGGTAGTTGACCATCATGTAAGACAGCAACAGGTGGCGGTTCCCCTACTCTATGGTATTCACATGGACAGAATATACAACTTCTTTATTCATCATCATCTTCATCCTCTTCATCTTCCTCATCCTCTTCATCATCGTCGTCATCATCTTCCTCAACCTTTTTCCGGGCAACTTTAGGAGCAACCTTAGCGCAATCAACTTTACCTTTGGACTTGTAGTCCGCAACATCCTTGGGAAGGGTAAAGAAAAAAAAAATTAAATTGATGTTTTTTTACATTTTTTTAAGTGCAAATTAACAACTGGATACAATTCTAAATAAATATATATCCGCACGCAATCCTTACCTTCTCATACTTTTCCTTCAGTTTAGCGGCCTTATTATTGTAGGGCTGCTTCTCACTGTCACTCAAGTTATTCCACATCTCACCCAGTTTTTTTGCTACATCACCAATAGAGATGCCAGGATTTGTGGATTTTATTTTAGGACGGAATTCTGAGCAGAACAGGAAAAATCCAGATCTAGGACAAAAGAGATACTGTTAACATACAATTTTTTATTTTTTTTAAAGAGGAAAATTCAACAAGAACTAGTGAAAAGAGAAAATAAATAAGTGTACATACGGTGGTCTTTTAGGAGCATTAGGATCCTTCTTCTTCTTGCTTCCCTTGACAGGTCCAAAGTCTTTCATCTCCCGGTCATATCGCACTTTATCTTGTTTTGCCAGATCCTCAAATTTGCATTTTTCCTTGGCTGACATTATCTGAATGGAAGAGGGGAAAAATACAAATAAGAGAAAATTGTAATTTAGGAAAGTTCAGCAGATCTAAAATTGAGTGGACTGTGTGCATACTGAGGACACAACATACCTTCCATCTCTCTGAGCATTTCTTGGAGAACTCTGCAAAGTTGACAGGAATTTCAGGGTTCTTCTTCTTGTGCTCCTCACGACATGTCTGCACAAAGTAGGCATAAGCAGACATCTTGCCTTTCGGCTTCTTCGGATCACCTTTTGCCATTTTGCAACTAAAAAAAATAAATAAATATATATAAAATATATGTAATACACATAACAGTCTAACAAAAAACTCTTAATAGCTAAGCAGCTAGTATAAGCTGAAGAATATAAAAAAAAAAAAAAAAAACACAACACAACACAGCTCATTTAGCCTAAAACGGGGCATCTGAATTATAAGAGTTCAGAGAATAAACCTCAAATGTTAAAGGCAGTCTGAATCCATCCTCAATCTCTGTTAAAAGGACTAGAAAAAAACCTCAGTTAGAGGAATAAACATGTGTCCTTCGAACTATTTAGTGTTCGAAACAGCAGTCCCAAGCACTGTAATGCTAGTGTGGCAGGGAGGAGAAGAAGAAAAAACACACCACACATAAAAACAAAAAAAGAATCCACAAAGACATTTAAAATGAAAAGAGTTTAAAAACATGTTAACATTTCTCATAAACTTGCTTTAACAAGTCCATAGTAGGTTATTTAAAATATATAGAAATATTGTATAATTAATATGTAAATTTTAAAATCATTAAAGAATTAAAAATTACTACAAAATATAAAGTGGGTTCCTTTATGCCTGCCATCCTTCCCATCCCCCACACCCAAGGTCAGGATCTGTGTAAACATGTTTAAAAAAAAAAAAATCGAATTAAAAAAGTGAGGAATAAATGAATAAAGTGGGGTTCAGAGAGTGCCCCCCGTGCCGGGATGCATGCAGGCATGGTGTCCGATGGAGTTAGACACAGCCCCAGTCACTGCATAGGGCTGCACTGGGAGGGAAAGAGACGACAGGTCACCAAGACACCAATAATTCATCTTCCATTTTGTGAAATGCTTCTTCATGAAAGAAAGTCCCCCTGAAATGTAAGCATCTAAAGCCCCTGTGGGAGATCTGGCTGTGGGGAGACGCGATAAGGGCTAACTGGGCATTATTTTGCGGTCCCGTAGGCTGCCGTGGCTGTATATAGCCTTGCTATGGAGTATATAGAGCGAGCCTGGCTGTTCTTTGCTATGGGTTCTCCATTCACTAAAATGGCTTCTCTCTCTATGCATAGGCACAAGAGGAACTGCTATACACACACTGCACTGCCTCCGCCCGACTTCCAGCTCGGATCTCTCAGCCGGACAGCAACGGATAACCGAATAAAAGACACGGTGTGAAAGGGCTGACTCTTGTCTATCCGAATCTGGGGTTTTAAAAGCCCTATGGTGCTCAGATGGGGTCCCGGGGCAGGTTTAGTGAGGCGCCCCCCTTCCCTCCTCGCTGAGGCTTAGCGCAATCCCATGTATAACAAAGAGCCGTGTTCAGCCATTACAGGAATAGAGGCGGCGGTGGAGGAGGGGGGGGAGGGCGTTTTAAAAGTACAAAAACGGGCGATCGGGGGGATAAACAACCCCAAAACCGAGCTGACTGGAAAGGGCTGGGGTGGGGGAATAGGCTGGGGTGGGTTTGGGGGCGCTGGGACGCTCTCCCCGATAAAGGGGACAGGTTAAAGAGCAGGAGAGCCCTATTCTCCCCTGTATACAGCAGGCTGTGTTATTGAAGGGAGTCACAGGGCACAGCTGCAGAGAAGGGATGGAGCCCATAGAGGGGGCATCAGGAGGGCAAGCAAAAAGGGGCAGAAATGGGGTACACTGGGGGGATTTGGAGGGTGGCAAGAGGGTGACCTCTCCCCACCCCCTCCCTCGTCTTCCTCAAGACAGGGAAACAACAAGGCAGCGGATGACAGGGACAGCCATGTTAATGCAGAGACATTGCAATGCAGCCACCCAGCACCCAGCTCAGGGGTGCCAGCCTGTACCCAACAATAGGTGCCCAAGGGGGGCAGCCCTGCATTTCTCAAATCCAATGCAGATTGGGGAGAAAAATGAGGGGGGGAGGAAAATCCTAAAGGACAGCACAATGCAAAAACAACGCTTTGGAGAGACCCAGGAGATCACATACAAAAAATAAAAAATACACATATAGCAGCAATTAAACACAAAATACAATAAATACAAATAAAAATTAAAAAAAATTAGTCAGCCTATTAAGGTGGGGGAGGGGAGGGCATGGCTTTTACAATACATTAGACGACCATCTTTGCTATGTAAAACATTATAAATGCCAGGAAATCTAACATTTAAGAAGAAAAAAAAAATTATATACACAAAAAAATAAAAACATTTTTTTTTTTAAAAAGTGAGCAATAATTATAAAAAAAATAAAAAAGCCAAAATATAGATTTTATACAGTAACATCATAAATCAGTATTATATATAATAATTTTTTTTTAAATAAAATACATGTTTAAACAAAACACATTAATCAGCATGCAGGGAGTCAGAGATGGAAATAATGGATAAAAAGAAGGATAAAAGTTTGGATAAAGAGGTAGATGGGGTACCTGCTGGGGTGGGTAATAGAGGGTGGTTGGTAGGGGAGCTGCTGGGGCCAAGGCTGGCAGGGATACAGGGAAAGTTTAGAGAGAGAGAGAGAGAGAGAATCACCCAGAGCTGCTGGTCCTACCTGTATTGTTCAGCTAGTGTGGAGCCCTGCGCACGCCGCTCACTACTAAGCCTGGATCGCAACCTCGCGCTAGCATACTACGAGAACGGCCCTGATTGGCTGCCACCGACTACCGTTTAAAACAACCTCCCAGCCCTCTCATTGGACAGGGAGCTCATGCATATTAAGCAGCTTGGAGGAGCTGAATGGCGGACGGGGGAGTGACGTCACTCATTCAAAAAGAACACCCGCCTGGGGAAATGGCTTGGAGAGTTCAGCCTATTCATTCCATTAACATAGCTGGGTTTACCTGTTCTAGCCACACACTGGGAATCTACATAGCCATACAGCCTCCATCTACACATCCACACACACAATGAGAAATCTACATAGCCATACAAGCTCTACATAGCCACACACCTTCATTCTACATAGCAATGTAATCTCAATATACATGGCAATTAGTACACACATCAGCCTGGGGAGATGGCAGAGACAGGAGGATACATTAGTTTTCAGGGTTATTCACAAAAAGTGGGAATTATTGGGAATTTAAAGTGAATTTCATTTACATTTTAATTTGACAATTTTATTGATTCTATACTATTACAGAATACCAACACTACAGCAGAGATACATGCTACAATACAATAATAAAGACATGCAATGATCTGTACAACCAAAATATTATGTGGTTCAGAAAATTAGAACCACACGAAAGAAAAAAAAAAAAAAGAAAAGCATAAATACACCTTTTTTATTTAATTTTTTAACAAAGCCTAGTCATACAATTTATCATGCTTATTTACTAAAGTTATTAGTAACTGTTAGTAAATTTAAAGGGGTTTATTGATTGAACACAAAATGTAGAGCGAATTGAAAAACAATCTGTAAATTGTAGGTTACAATATCAATGCAGTGAGTATAGTGGAGTTAGAGATTTTTTTTTTTTTTCAAATCATCTATTATGACTTAACGTTTGCAATTCAGTTCACTACAATTTGCTGTTTAGTGAATAAAATCCTTAAAGTAAATTTCAAGCCAAAATTGTTGAATTGGCAACATTTTTCAAGCCATTCATTATTTGTAGCTCAGTTGCTTTGGCCTAAAATTCTTAATTAACAATTTTATTCATAGATTAACAAATAACTCCAATAGAATAAAAATATGCTTACCTGAAAATCGCTTCAAAGTAAATTTTACATTTTAGGCCAATATATCTATATTGTAAACATTTTCCAAGTCAGGTATGTTTTTAGTTCAGCTGTTTTTGGCCTAAAATCTGAAATTCATTTTACATTCCAAACAATTCACACTTCAGTGAATAACCCTAAAAATATATGCATCAATATCCATACAATCTATGGAGATACAGGAGTGAGTAAACATACTAAACTAGCGAAATAGCTAGTAATTCTACCAGCACAGACTACTCCGTAATCTAAAATCCCAGTCAGGTTTATCCAGCAGGCAGAGGGACAGTCAAGTTTATTCACAAAGTGAATTTCAAATGTGATTCAGCAATGCTTCCCGTTGGGCTCTTTTGTCCTTAAATGCAATATTCATGTTGAATTCCCTACAAGCTATAACCCCGTATGAGGTTTAGTCACTGAACACCAAATTGTTTTTAATTCACTTCAGTTCAATGAATAAGCCCCTATTTTTCTTATTTCCCCATATAGGTTATCCACTAATGTAATAAGAGTGACAATTGAAATTTACTTTGAAATTTAAGACCAAAAGAGCCAAACTGAAAACAGGATTGAATTGGAGCATTATCCAATTTCATCTTAAAGTTGAAATTTATTTTAAATTCACTTTGAATTCCTAGGAGTTTTTACTTTAGAAATTATCCTTATATTTCTTTCCTCTGGTCTCTTCCAAAAAATAGGAAAATCAAAAGTTTAGGCCAAAATTGCCAATCTGCAAAAAAAAAAAGACAACATTTTTCCCATTTCAGCTATTTTAGCCAGATATTAGAAATGTTCTCGTCAGTTCTTCTTGATCCTCAATAACCCTCTTAAAAAGGTGTACTCCATGCACCATAACCACCACAGCATGTTTTAGAGATTATAGTGCCAGGCGTCCCCTGGTCCCCGCCCCCTGTATGTAGTCAAACCATTTTAGAACCACAGTCTGGTTGTTCAGTGCCAAGCTCAGGACACTCCTTGTACCAATACCACTTCAGTGTGCTATAGTGGTTGTGGTGCTTGGAATGTTTCTTTAATTACAATATGTTTATTTTCCAGTCTTAGATTTTAATTTCTATTTTTATTTTCCCACATCTCCTGTTCACTTTCATCCTTCTATTCTTTATAATTTCTTTCTCCCCAATTTTTTTCAAGCAACATATTATACAGTTAACTGTTTCAGCATTCACCAAAAATAAATTTAAAAATGGCAAAATCCATTTAAAAGCACAACAGAGTGCTCACATATTTACAAAGACCACCTGTAGGAATACATGCACACATTCAAGCATACACTGCCAAGACGGATGAGCATAAAACACATAACTACTCAAACACATATTTAAGCACTCACTTTTGGTTTATATAATGACTCAATGAACCCTTCGTGCATATTTATTAAGACACTTCACTGCATCTGTGTATTTAAAAGGGATTCTATAGTGCCAGGAAAACAAACCCGTATTCCTGGTACTATAGGCTCCTGCAGTGCCCACTCTCAGAAACTATAATAATTACCACTGTAGAGTTAAGGGACATTCAACACTGTACCCATATCACTTCAATGAACTGAAGTAGTCTGGGTGCCTACAGTGTCCCTTTAAGGATGCACAGCATCCTTTGCGCATACACTCCCTGCACCTTGTGACCGCATTTAAAGGATAACTGTAACTTTAAAAAAAATAAAAAATTAATAACAGTAATTTCATCAGTCTTTGAATATATATATATGAGAAAAACCCATCCCTCCCTAGTATATGACAGGTGTCTTCAGCCATATTTATACACTTAGGGTCAGACATTGTTTGCAAACCGACAGTCTCTATGGTCTGTGGTAGCTTCTGTGCAGAAAGTGAAGCAGGAAGATATCAGAGACCAACTTGGTTTTCATCTGATCCAAGGTGCATGTATATGGCTGATTGATCATGTCATATACTAAACGTAGGAATAGGATTTTCTCTTTTTTGACATATACTTTTTTTTTTTCTTAAAATAATTTTTTTTTAATTATGATTTTTGTAAGGATTAACATATTGAAAATTGCGTATAGGTGGTAGTTGGCCTCCCCTTGGGCTTATACTTCAATCTTTTGCACGCCATTACTGAAGCACTGCACCATATTGGCGCACTATATGACTCTGGACTGCATTTAGGCCTATTGAATGAAGCACTGCACTATTTGGGCACATTATATGACACATTGCACTGCGTTTGGGCTTATTGAATAAAGCACTGTACTATTTGGGAGCATTATATGCAGTGTTAATGTTGTTGACTAAATTTTAGTCAACTAAAATTTTTGAGATTTAGTCGACTAAAACTAGACAAAACTATTCAGATGACTAAAATGCGACTAAAACCGAAATGGTTTTTTAGTCAAAAGACTATGACTTAAAACTAAATTGAACTTTGCAGTGAAAATTAACACTGATTATATGACACACTACACTATTGGGTTGCATTATATGACACACAAACTGCATTTAGACACATTCTATAACACACTACACCATTTGGTTTCATTATTTAACACACTGCACCGCATGTAGACGCATTATGTGACACTAACACCTGGGCGCATTATATAACGCACTGCACATAGACGCATATGACACTAACAGCTAGGCGCATTATATAATGCACTAACAGCTAGGCGCATTATTTAACACACTGCACATCATTTAGACACATATGACACTACACCATTTGGTTTTATTATATAACGCACTGCACCGCATGTAGACGCATTATATGACACTAACACCTGGATGCATTATATAACGCACTGCACCGCATGTAGACGCATTATGTGACACTAACAGCTCGGCGCATTATATAATGCACTGCACTGCATGTAGACGCATTATATGACACGAACAGCTAGGTGCATTATATAACGCACTGCACCGCATGTAGACACATTATGTGACACTAACAGCTAGGCGCATTATATAACGCACTGCACCGCATGTAGACGCATTATGTGACACTAACAGCTAGGCGCATTATATAACACACTGCACCGCATGTAGACACATTATGTGACACTAACAGCTAGGCGCATTATTTAACACACTGCACATAATTTAGACACATATGACACACTACACCATTTGGTTTCATTATATAACGCACTGCACCGCATGTAGACGCATTATATGACACTAACACCTGGATGCATTATATAACGCACTGCACCGCATGTAGACGCATTATGTGACACTAACAGCTAGGCGCATTATATAACGCACTGCACGTAGACGCATTATATGACACTAACACATAGATGCATTATATAACGCACTGCACCGCATGTAGACACATTATGTGACACTAACAGCTAGGCGCATTATATAACACACTGCACCGCATGTAAACACATTATGTGACACTAACAGCTAGGCGCATTATATAACGCACTGCACCGCATGTAAACACATTATGTGACACTAACAGCTAGGCGTATTATATAACGCACTAACAGCTAGGCGCATTATATAACGCACTAACAGCTAGGCGCATTATATAACGCACTAACATTAGGCGCATTATAACGCACTAACAGCTAGGCGCATTATATAACGCACTAACAGCTAGGCGCATTATATAACGCACTAACAGCTAGGCGCATTATATAACGCACTAACAGCTAGGCGCATTATATAACGCACTAACAGCGAGGCGCATTATATAACGCACTAACAGCGAGGCGCATTATATAACGCACTAACAGCGAGGCGCATTATATAACGCACTAACAGCTAGGCGCATTATATAACGCACTAACAGCGAGGCGCATTATATAACGCACTAACAGCTAGGCGCATTATATAACGCACTAACAGCGAGGCGCATTATATAACGCACTAACAGCTAGGCGCATTATATAACGCACTAACAGCTAGGCGCATTATATAACGCACTAACAGCTAGGCGCAT